GCTAAATCACCTGTGGATGTTGGCCAAAGCTATACTGGCCTTGACCCCCATAGATGACTGGGACCTGGGACCTTCTGTCTCCTTACTGGGCCTCTGGCTTCTAGGTCTAGGCTGCACCTTGGCCAGTTCTAGCCTGTGACCTCTCCAGGTTAGTTATGGACTCCAGGAAGTAGGCACCCAGACTAGGCTTCACATCAGGAGCTGGCTGCTTGTGTGCTCTGCGGAGGGCCTTGCTGGTGTCTTGGGTCATCCTCACAGAGAGCCTCTGGGAATAGCTGGCCTTATCCCGAGATGAAGACATCAGCTATTGGGAGGCAAGCACCAGGTGGCAGTCCTGGGAGAAAGGCCACTTGGAACTTAACAGTCCAATCTAAAACAGAATCTAGCCTGCCCTGATTCCTCAGGGCTCCTGCCATGCTAGCGAAGGCTTCGGCCAAGGACAGGCAGAGTGGCCACATGAAGGAGGACACGGGTATCTTTGTGACTTAGGGCACCAAGCCACACTGCCGTGTGTGGAGGCAGCTACTCTCCATCACTCAGTGAGGGTTAGCATAAATAATCCTTACAGTAGCCAGAGCCTCTGGCACCTTCCATGCACTCAGCCCTGGTTCTAGTGTACGTCCATTAAAATATGCAGTCCACCTAGATACTCCAGAGTCCATATGATGGCTCACCCGTTTCCCATGCGTGCAAACGAAGAGGTGCTGGTTGTAGGAAAATGAGCCGCCTAGCTCTCCAGCTCGCCCCTCCTGAGCCCCAGGCTGTTCCAGGTTTATCTCTGGCTGCCTGGTAGACCCGTGCTGGCTTTTTGTTTCTCTTCACACCAAAGCCAGGAGCCAAGTGAGAGACCAATGGCGTATGCATGGCACCGCGCCTCAGAGCATGGGCACTTGTCCACTTGGGATGAAAGGTGGTCTGAGATGGTTCGCAAGGCCTGTGGCTCTGAGTCACATTCCACACATTTTTTGGCCCCTGGCTTGGGCTTGGCAGTCCTTGCCTCATTGCTCTGCAGCTTGGCTGGGGCTGGGGAGTTCTGGAATCCCTGGGGTCAGAGGGCTAGGAGACTCCCTGTGTTACTCACAGAATGTTCCTCTGGTCTGTCCCTGCACTCTCTGTCTCCCTCCAGATGCCTTCCTGCATCGGACTCTGAAAGGAGCAGGCTTTTGTAGAAAGGTGTGAGGTGAGGAGGTCAGGTTTCCCCTGGGGTATTACTACCACTGCAGACTCTCTGGGGACTGCCAAAGCCTTGGAAGGAGAGCCACTAAAGTCTGAACCCAAATTTTCATCTGTAGCTTAGTGGGCAAAATGGCTTTGAGCCTCAGTTTCCCAACCTATAAAATGAGTTTCCCAAAAGCCCTGAGGACGAGTGAGAACCATGGCCCATAATGAAGGGCCCTCAGTCCTTCCATCTGGAGGTCCCTCTGGGTGCTGTCCTCCTGACTGTGCTCCCGGGCTGTGCATGGGGCTACGCTGACTGACAGCCCTTCGCCAATGCTGGGCTTTGCTACAAGAGACGGTGTGGACAGCTGGCTGTGATCTGGAGGGTGGAAAGGCCCTTTGGAACACCAGCCCTAGGGTCACCTACCCCCAAACTTCTGCACTGCCACCACGTTGCTCTTGAGTGAAGGCAGGTTTCATCTACAGAGTGCTTCTGAAAAAGATGGCAGTGTGGTGGCTTCAGGAAAAGGATGCCACCTAAGTCAAAGTCCTAGCCCCCCTGCTTATCCGTATGACCTAGGCAAGCCTTTCAACCTCCTGTGCCTCGGTTTCCTCATTTGTTCAACAGGATAATTGCAGCCTCTATCTTGTGGGATTGTGCTGAAGTTTGCAGGGATGAAGAAAATATTAAGGCCCCTGCAGCTGTCTTCATCATTATCTGTTATTTCTGAGGTGGTTTGAGCCTCTTTGTCGTGGTCCTGGCACCTTGAGTCCACACAGCTGTTTCCAGGAGGCATGACCTTCCCAAACAATTGCCAGACACCTCAGTGAGATTTGCCAGGGTCCCGGCTGGTAAGTGAGAGTACAGACACAACCCCTCCCCGGCCCCAAACACCTGGGGGCTGGAGCTAGCAAGGCAAAATGAGGGAGGGGAATTCAGAGATGGTCCAGACTGGCACATAGGCAGGAGAACGAATACATGAATGGCCGGGCAGGGCAGCCTATGGGCCCATTCTGGAGCCTTCTGAGATAAAGATGGAACCTTTCCTGAAGACAGTTCTCCAACTTTTTCCCAGAGGTACCCCTAAGGGCAGAGGACGGTGAACATGTCACCCTGAGGGATATGAAGGGTGCTGCCCGCACCAGCTGCTAAGCCTGCGGGAGCCTCTGGTTTCATCTTCAAATTCATGCGCATTTTACATGGCTCACTCTCATACTCAGTTTGTTGTTACAGACTTCCCTCGAGTAACAGCAGTGCCTGAGGAAGCTTCCTGTGCTTATCTGTTTATCCTGGGGCTTTCTGTACCCTGCTCCTCCACCGTGTCAAGGGGGGGCTGGGAGGTGCTGCAACAGGATGCTCAGCCAGATGGTGAGAAGATGGGATGGGAGATTCTGAGGGCAATTGGGCCCATCTGCATCGCTGTAAGGCCTCTGAGGGTGGGTACAGGAAGGGAGAGGCCCACCGTGATGCCACGTGTATCCTCAGTCAGAGCTGTTTGTGTGTATCTCCACATGTGAGCACAAGCCACAACAAAGGTTAATGTCATAGTCAGGAGTCCACATGCGTGTGCTGGCCAGGAATGGCTGTCTTGGCAGAGGCCCTTGCTGGCAGGGGTCTCTGCAGTCTGTCTCTGTCCCTTGAGGCCTCACCTTCTGTTGAGTTTATGTGCTGTAGAGTATATAAAGTGCCCCCAAGAGCAGTGAGGGGTGAGGACGGCAGCTTAGTCGGGAAAATCCTAGCTGTGTGTACATGAGAACCTGAGCTCAGTTCCAGGCGCCCACATATGAAACACACGCTGGAGACAGCAAGAGCAGAATCCCTGGGCCTTGCTGGCCGGCTAGTGAGGGCAAATCAGTGAGCTGGAGCTCACAGCACTGTCCTTCCTTTGTCCTTGGGCAGTTCTTTACCTTCATTGCTCCTAGAGTGTGTGCAGATGTGCATGTGGATGCACATCTGTGTGTGCATACAGAGGGCAGAAGTTGACAGTGGTGTCGTTCCTTCTTCACATGTCTCCAGTATGTGTTTCACATGTGGGTGCCTGGGGACTCAGCTCAGGCCAGGGCTCACACTGCAGTGGGCTAGGTGCCCTTGGTGCACCCAGAAATTACAAACACTCCCGACTGGTGTGGCTGCTCACAGACTCAGAGGCCTTACAGTCCAACCAGATCTGGAGGATGTCCGTTCGAACCATAGCAGTGTGTTGGTTCCTGTCTCACTGCTGCTGAGAGATTGTGGGACCTTAAAACGGGAGAGCTTAGTGGGAGGTCATTAGGTCATGAGGCACTGCCTCCAGGAAGGATTGTTTTTCAAGAGATTAAATTGCTATAAAAACTCAAGTCTGGCTTGCTGTCTGGCCATGTGATCTGCCCTGTCCACAGGAGTCCCTGCGCTGTGATGTCAGCTACCAAGGGGTTCCTGCCAGTGCTGAACAGACACTGGCATCAAGCCCTTGGCTCTCCAAAACTGGAGCCCAGTAAAACTTTCCTTTATGAAGTTTCCCAGATTCGGGCAATCTGATATAGTAACAGAAAATGGGCTGATGCAAACTCTGTCTCAGCTAGGGCCCTGCAATGCGACTTAAACAGACGTGAATGAAACAGAACTGGCCAGTGCTCATGTGCGTTAGAAAGGTCATCCATGATTCATAGGGACTTGTGGCTCCCCAGGGACTTTAATACAGCTTCTCAGTAGCCTGGGTCAGGACCCTGGAGTTCAGACTAGGATTGGGACACAGAAGGTGAGCTTTCTTACTACCTGAGCTACACTGATGCCTCTGCAGGTGCCTCATGGGACCCTGAGCCCAGTCCCAGCACAAGGAAGGTGTTAAAGGCATCCTGCCAGGGTGCATACAGACTTTCCCACGCAAAAGGATCGCGGGGCTGAGTGTCATTCACTTCCCCAGCCAGAAAGCTTCCGTGCAAGTCAGCCTTGGTCTTGACCCCAGAGAGGCTTGTGTGGTGGGGACGTAATAATGGGGGAGACACTTAGTGATCTTTTACTCAGGTCTGGGTGCATAGTGGGAGCATTTTCAGGTCAGCCCTGGACATGAGCTACCCTGCACTAGGGTCACACAGAACCTGGGCCCTCTAGTGTGTCTAGCAGGGATGGGGACATGAGATCATTCCTGAAGGTGCTGCCAGAGTCTGCCTTTGTTCTCTCTCCTGCCCACTTGACTTTATGTGGTGGTGTTAGAGACAGCAGAATAGATTCGCCCCCTGCTCAAAGGATGCAGGGAAAAAATGAGGCTTCGATATCTGGTAGTGTGGGGTTGGATCTGGGCTCTCGTGGTGTTTGAGTGAGAAGTCTTGCATATGCTCGGATTTAGACACTTGGTTCCCAGTTGGTACCGCTGTCAGATAGGTGCTGGAGGAAATACATTACTGGAGGTGGGCTTTGAATCATGTGACTCATCCTACTTCCAGTTCACCCTCTCTGTTTTATGCTTTGATAAAGGGTGAAAGCTCACAGCTCCCTGGCCTGCTGCCATATTGTCTCTGGCTGCCATGTTGTCCCTGCCATTATGGACTCTAACCATGTGAACCATAAGCCAAAATAAACTTTCTTCCTAGGTTGCTTTTGGTCATTCACTTTGGTTTATTACAACAACAGGAAATAATACAGCCTCCTGGCTGGCCTGCAGAGTACCTCAGTTTCCCCCTTCCAATGGACAGTCCTAGCAACTGAGGTGATACATTAGAGAGAAAAGGTATCCTGTGGAGTGTTGAGTCCCAGACTGGCCACTTGTGAATAGGTGATAGCTGTGCCCTCTGCTTGCCCATCTATTGAAATGGAAAAAGTGGTCAGGAGGAGAAAGTGACCAGGCCCGCATTTTCTGTTGCAGCTTGTGACCTCGTGAGGCTGGCATGCAGGATGGCAGGACAGCCCAGCCACATGCCCCATGGAGGGAGTCTGAACAATCTCTGCCATGCACTGGGGCCTGCACCCCCTCCAGACCCACAGGTAAGCCCATTCTCTTGTCCCAGGCACACTGAGGGTCCTTCATCCAACCCCTCATTCCTTGTAAAACATCTCCTTGAATGCTTTCGGGTACCTTGGGCCTGTACCTACTTCAGAGATGCTTGGTTTCCATTGAGTGTGCAGCTCTGTGCAAGAAGAGGAGGACTCAGGAATGAACAGAAAGTTCTTCTGTTCCTGGACCATTGTCGGGTTTGGTCTGAATTGTCTTTGGCTGTCTTCAGTCTTGTGGTTTAGAGGTAGTCTCCCTGTGCCCACCTTATCCTGGCTTTAGATGTTTTGGAGGACCCAGCTACCCCTGGTACTGTTCTAAAGGTGGCTGAGTGCCAGGCACACTCGGTGTCTTTGTCAGCTCTATTTTCTGACCTAGAATGCTCTTCTCAGTCTTTTCCAAGCCACAAGGCCAGATGCTACTCTCTGAGAAGATCCTGCCCCTGACACACAGCATCCCCCCCCCACAAGTTCCCCCACCCTGTGTGCATGCCCCCACATGGCTCTGGACTTGGAAAATTCATTCCTGCGGGGGTCTTCCCTTCCTCCTAGATGGAGGACATCTCTAGCCTAGTATACAGAAGCATGGTCTGTACCAGTGAGTCAGCGAGATACATCTGTATCTCAAATACATCCTGTGTGTGCAGTGCACTGCCTCAGGTGTGATGGTGTGAAGCAGGCCCAGGTCAACTCTTAGGGAGCGCACAGCCTCCAGGGATAGAAACTTAAAACTACAAATCAGAAGTAACCCCAGGATTCCAGAGCCCAAGCAAAGCACATGACAGGCCTCGTGGCCTGCAGAACAGCAAGCGTGGTGCCTGGGTGGACCAAGATGCTCTAGGGCAGGGTCAGCTTTTTACCCAAAGGCCAAGAGACCTAAATCAGTGGGAGATTCAAAACAGCCATATTCCTACAGCTTCTGACACCCTAGCTCCTGGTGGAGGACTAATGGGTCTACCCGATGTGCAAATTATAAACTACAGACACCCGCTCAGGGAGGCAAGTGGTTTTCAAGTCGTACATGCTTGCACTCTTACTGTGTTGTGATCTATGGCATAGGGCTATGTCCTACTGCAGAAGCACACAAACATACCGCGTGAGCTCATGGACTGTGCAGGCATGTAGACAATCCTAGGACATCTGTGCCATTTGTCTCCTGTGTCCGTTGTGGGCCGGGACACGATGCTGATGGCTGGAGCAGCAGGGCCTGCTTAGGTAATGTAGCCATTGGTCACATCAAGTCATTCGCTAACAGTGGAATCCCCCTTGATTAATCTCCCAGAATTAGCCAGTTGCATTTTGAGCAATTAGGGTTAATTACAGGCTCATTTGGCAGAGGAGAGAGGTCTGTAATTATTTCTCAAGCGAGGCGAGGCGAGGCGAGGAGGCAGCAGTGACAGTGTCCTCGGCAGCTTGTCGCACATGTTGGAGTGGGTGATGACATAGTTAAGTGTAATTAGATGCAATCACTCAGTGTAGCCTGCTCTGGGCAGTGGCTGTCACCTGGCCACGCTTAAAGACTTGGGGTGCATGGCCGAGTATGCTGTGTAAACTCCAGGCTGGGACAGGGATAGGGGCTGGCCAGGCACATCTCGGTCCTCTCACCAAGTGCCTGTGTTTCACCCCTTCTGAGGAGCGTGGCAGCCAAGCCTCTCCCATGTCAGCATAATAAACATTTGGAATGGACAGTGAGCTCATGTCTGTTTATGGCAGGAGGCATGTGTCCTAGCAGGCCATCCTTAGAACCTGGAATGAGGCTCTGCCTGCTCTGAGGTTGGGTCCAAAGCCTCTCATCCTGAGTTTCCTCATTTGTACAGTAGGAACAATGATGGCAGCTCTGTCCTGAGACTCCTGTGAAGTCCAAATGATGTGATACACTTTAACTCTAACATAACTCCAACACCATGGGTGTCAAGGAAATATCAGTGGTGCTGAGGAAATTCCATGTGCAGACCTTCTCTTTTTTGTTTTTGTTTTTTGAGACAGGGTTTTTTCTGTAGTTTTGGAGCCTCTCCTGGACTTTATTTTCATAATTGAAAAATTACTACAGTTTTCAAAGTCAGAGCTCCCACAGTTAAATCTACCCTCACAAAGCAGAAAGGCCAGAGCTCCTAACAGTCCACCTATGGCTTTGTTAACCTTCCAGGCACAAACAGTGGCTTTACAGAAGCCGAGAGAGCCAGCAGCACATGGAAATCTGCTTGCTGAACCTTAGCGTTGGCATGTGAGGTTGGCTCACCTGCATGGAGGAAGGCTGGGTTTTAACTGGAACTCTGGTGGATGGCTATAGAGTCAAGAAGGAGCAACCCCTGAAGAACGCTGAAGAGTGTAGAAGGGAAAAGTTCCTTGTGGGAAAAGCCCCTGCTGACAGACAGTTCACTTCTGTTAAATAGGCATGCGCACACTGTGCAGGGCTTTGGGGGGCAGCGGTCCATGAGTGTGGGTTTCACAGACCAACATCTATATGCCAGCCTTCCCAAAGGAGTGAGGATGGAAGCACTCGGGAGGCTGGGGCAGGCGGAGCTCTGTGAGTTCGAGGCCAGCCTGATCTACAGAGTGAGCTCCAGGACAGCCAGAGCTGTTACACAGAAAACGTGTCTCAAAAACAAACAAACACACAACAACAACACAAAACAAAGAAGGGGTGGTGGATGACTAAGGTTTAATGACCAAATGTTCATGGCTGTTGAAACTCAAGCATGTGGCAAGATGTCTCAGTCAATAGAGTGCCTGCCATGCAAACACGCCCTGTGTTCAGATGCTTAGCATCCACTTGGAAGCTGTACACAGTGGGTCACTTCTGTAACCAAGCACCAGGAAAGTGGGGACATGTAGAGCTCTGGGGTGCACTCACTGTTCAGTCTAGCTGAGTTTGGTGAGTTCTGGCTTCAGTGAGAGAACCATCTCAAAAGTAAAGTGGAGAATGAAAACAGTGGACATTGACTCTACTCTCCATGTGCACGCACACACAAACACACGCACAGACGCGCATGCACACACACATACACAATTGAAGAGTGTTGGCTTTGCTCATGAATTTAGAAGATGATTGTTCCAGGCCCTTATCTGAGTACCAGCCCTTGGGATACATGACCCATTGGGGACCCCTCTATAAACAAATTAAGAAGGAGAACACTAGAGGGCTTGGGGAGGAGTGGAGAATGGGGTAGCTGGTTCTGTCCAGTGGATGACCAGGGGTCAGGGAGAACAGAGAGAATAATATACACACCCCTACCTCCTCAGCCAAGCACAAAGAACTGGTGCTTGGTCATTTCAATTGAGCCCGTAGCAAAGGAACAGCCCGTTATGGGTTTTGTAAAGATCCCTTAGGGCTGAGACCTTAGGGCACACTCAGGTTAAATTGGGATGAATGGGAGCCCACAAGGAAGGCCATCTGTACTGGGCTGAAGGTGGAGAAGGACCTCCGGCTTTTGCCTTCCAGCCTTTGTCAGCCAGTGTTCTCAGCTGGCAGCTCTCATCAAGGTGCAGGATCATCTTGTGGAGGCATTCTGCCGTTTGGATGTTTAGTGCCTGTCATAATGTCTGTATGCTATAAGCATTTCCTTAATGCTTCTGTGAGCTGATGGCCCATGAAGCCTGCAGTAGATCTAGGCTGGGATGATGGCAGTGACGAATCATGCTAACTGTGTTGTGTGATCACTGAATCCTTCTGCCTCGGAGGAGAAGTATCCAGTGCTCTGAAGTAGAAACAGCGAAGGTTGGCTGTGGTTTGAAATTGGCCACTCTGCTGAGCGAGGTTGGCCTCACAGTGTCTGACAGTGTAGATCTTTGTAAGTTGAGCCCTTTTGTGCAATGCATATTTAAAGCATTTTGCTTCGTAGAAACCCACTCCCCTGTAAGTTCCCTATCCACATGGTGTCAGATGTCTTTAAAGGTGAAATTCATTTACAGGAAATGTCATGCTGATGAAGTGTGCTTTTTAAAATCATAGAAACAGTTGCCTTAAAATTAATGATGCGTCACCAGTATGGGGGAGAAGAGGCCCATGCAGTGTAAAGATGATTAAAATTCAGGTCAGAAGTCTGACTTAGTCAGGCTAAATTTTTTAATGAGATTTCAGAAAATTAATTGGGCGAATGCATTTTTATCCTTCTAACATGTAATTTTATGCTCCTGTTTAGGGAGTGAGCAAAGGGAGAAGGGTTTCTCAATGGCGAAAGTGTATTGTGGTTCAAACATTTTAAACTCAGATTAGCCAAGGGGTAGGGGTACTTGTGGCCTGATTTGATCTGTCTTGGGAAAGAAAGCCTGGGTTTCTCCGGGCTTTCTGGGGTAGGATGGGTGTCCCATTGTCCCCTGTATGTCCTGCCTAGTGACATTTCTAGGGAAGTTGAGGCCAGGGACAATTGTCATGGACCTGCTTTCCCCTTGACTCCTGCTGTCTCTGGTCAGGCTCTCAGAGTCCTCCATCCTCCTCCTCCTGATCCACACCATCCTCCTCTGTGCTAGGAAGCAGTGTGTGGCGGATTGCTGCAGGATCAGCAGCCTGCCTCCTCATAGCCCTGGACGCTGGCCATCTTCTCTGCCTCTGAGGGAGAGCTGAGGGTCACCCCCTCTCTAAGGAGCCAGGAATGACACTTCCCATTGTGTCATCCCTGCCAGCAGCCCACAGTGTAGCCCTAGTGAACGGATGACAGGCTCAGGGGCACTCAGGCGCTCGGCAAGCTGGGCCATGTTGAGGGTACCCTGGTACCCTGGATCAGGAAACAGGCCTGGTGAGGTAGGCAACACAGACCTGGCCCGGAGAGGGAGAAGACTCCACCCCCACCCTCCAGAATTAATAGGGTCAGGACTCTGATGCGCAGGTGCCCTTGTGTCATGAGATGCCCACACCTGCGCAGAGGCTGCCCCCAAAGCACCCTGCCCACCCCAGTGGACTGAACATGCCCCAGTGCACAGCACCGCCAGGCTTCACTGCAGTAAACCGTTTCTCTAATTAGGATGAATGAGTCGCAACAGGAAATGCATTGCACATCTGGGTCATCCTTATACAGATGTGAACTAGAACTTTGGCCTCTGTGGTCACCTCTGTGGTCACCCGCTACCCCACAACTACCACCTCACGTCCTCTAGATTTTGGAGCCATGGCAGAATTGGGCAGAGTACCTGACCTAGTAAGAAGGCCCATGTTTACAGAACAGGTAGCCTTGGCGCTCACCCTTCTCCACCCACCACTGTTCCAGGGGAATGCTGGGGCCCCAGAGGGGAAGGCCTTACCCCAGGACCCCCAGCAGCACAGCCCCAGATCCAACAAGGAATCTGCTTTCCTGGCCAGGCCTTAGGCTCTCAGGAGTTCAAAGCAGCCCCCAAGTAGCATACAGTAGATACCTAATTGCAACAGTGTGTTGTCACCTCTGCAGGTACTTCTGTCCCCAGGAGCCACCCTGGTTCTGTCTAAGCATGGCTTCAGCTGTGCTCCTGCAGTTGGTGATGCAGCTCACCCCTTGGAGCTGGCACTACTGCACCCCACAGTCCTCACTTTCTAGCACTAGGGAAGCAGTGGGGCCCCACTCCGGGTCTCTCTGAGGCTTTGGTGAGTTGACTTTGAGGTGGCAGCTGCACCATGTTGAGCATGAATAGTGCTGGAGAAGCTTATCCTCTTGAGTACCACTTGTTGAGTAGTAAGGTATTGGCAGTTCCTTAAGAGTTTGTCCAACAGAATCATCTTCCTCTTGCTCAAGTCTACAGGCAGGGATCTCTCAAACCACCTTCCATGGGTGCCTCAAGATCCCAGAATCAAGGTCAGCTCAGCATTGACCTTGCAGAGGGGAGAGGCAGCGGGAGCATGGGCTGGCAGGAGGCCCCCCCTAGTCTTCTTGGCCAGGTTCCATCATGGCTTTCAGTGATGACTGCAGTCTCCACAGAGTCTGGTTTCTTTGTGCCACTGTGATGGGCAGGTTGTCCAAACACTTAGCTTGCTTCCCTTTCCTGATGAGGAACCTGTCCCAGTTAATGGTTACTGACCTGTGGCGGGGGGGCTGGTGAGCCTGGATGAGACTAGAACTATCCTGCCCCCTTGATCTGACATTTGTCCCACACTCTTCTTACCAGGCCCCTTACTGGGGGTGTGTGTTAAATCCTTCTTTGCTTAGAGGGGTACTGTTGGGATACTGGGATCCTAGAGGCCGCAGCCGTCCAGTCCCAGGCTTTCTGCTTCAGCCTAGTGATCACATGCCTCTGTCTCTTCCAGAGGCACCCCAACACCCTGTCTTTTCGCTGCTCACTGGCGGACTTCCAGATTGAGAAGAAGATTGGCCGAGGACAGTTCAGTGAGGTTTACAAGGCCACCTGCCTGCTGGACAGGAAGATCGTGGCTCTGAAGAAGGTACAGGTGAGTCAGGGCCACAAGTACAAATGGCTTCACCGTGACCCTACCTCCTAGAGGACTCGAATTTAGCCCTCTGTAAAACATAAAAGAAAAGAAAAGTATGTATGCATTAGGTACCTGCTGTGTACAATCATGTGTTCAGACACAGGACTCTGACAGTAGCCCTGTGGGCTGGGATTATTGTCCCATTTTTCAGATGAGGAGAACAGTAGAAACCTACTAACTCCCCAGGCCAGAGGGAGCTTAGGGAAAAGCAAGATAGCCCCTGCCCTTCTCTCAGAGTCCAGCCTGCCCTCTGTGACCCTTCTCAGTGTGGGGTCCCAGTGGGGGAGGGGCACAGCGGCAAGGTCAGGCTGGGAAGTACATACCACATACCTGGAATCCTCCCCACAGACTCCCTTATTCTGCTGGTTCTTCTGCAGAGTCCCTGGATGGGAATACACAAGCTGTATAGCGTCAGCATTGATCTGTGACCTCACATTCTCTCCAGGACACTGGGCGTCAGGCTCCTGCAGCTGAGAAACTGTCTGCTCTTTCCTTTCCGAGGGCATTCTGGGCCATCTTCTGCATGCTGGCTGCTGTGCTGGGACACTGCCAATGGCTGCCTTTGTCTGTCCCTACAAGGCTTAGGCTTCAGGCCCCTGCAGAAGGAGCACTGGTGACATGCCAATTACCAGGGTGTGACCTCAGCGAGGGCAGAGGCTGTGGCCCTCAGCGCCTGCTCTGTGAGTCAGATACAGTGACTCTTCATGTAGGAGGCATCGTGGGCCCTGAGTGAGCCTGGGAACACGGTCTCATTCATGCTGTTGCTGAGAGTGGGGACTCTTATTCTTCTGGGTGCTGGGCAAGGAACAGGGTAAGCAGGGGCTTGAATCTGTTTCTGGCTTCCTCTTGCCCTAGATCTTTGAGATGATGGATGCCAAAGCCAGGCAGGACTGTGTCAAGGAAATTGGTCTGCTAAAGGTGAGTTGCCTGGGTCTGGCCAGTCTTGGTTGGGCCGGCTTTCTAGGGTACTGCGGGTCAGACACCCTGGGCCTATCCGCGGGTCAGGTTACAGTCCTGATGTCTTCCTTTCCAAGCTATGCTACCTTTCACAAGTGACTTAACTTCAATGAGCCTCTGTTCACCCAGCTTCTAAATGATAGGAATACCTACTGGACGGAATTGGGAGGATGGTGTAAAGAAATGAAATAAGTAAAAACGGCATGGGGTTGGGGAGACGGCTAGGTTGGCAGAGTGACTTGGAAGCATGAGGGCTTCCAATGGGTTCACTAGCACCCATTTTATTGTTTGCTTTTTGCTTGTTTGTTTTTGAGGCAGGGTTTCTCTATATACCCCTGGCCGTCCTACAACTTACTGAATAGACCAGGCTAGCCTTGAACTCACCTGCCTTTGCCTCAGGAGTGCTCAGGTTAAAGGTGCGCACCACCATTCCTGGCCTCCATATTTGTTTATTTGGTTTCTAGCCCCAGCACTGAGGAGGGGTCGATAGCAGGGCCTCTGGGGTTCACTGGCCAGCCAACCCAGCCTACTCCACAAGCTAGTGATCAGCAAGAGATCCCTTCTCAAAAAACAAGGTGGGGCCAGCAGAGGCTCAGTGAGTACAGCACTGGGTATGCAGGCCGCCTGAGTTAGTCCCCAGAGCTCCTGTAGAGATAGGAGAACCAACTTAACAAGATCATCCTCCGACCACTACACAGGTGCCGTGGCATGCACACATTCATGTGTCACGTGTCCATGCCAATGGAAGCTGGTGTTAGCCCCTAACAACCTTCTCAAAACAACCATAAAATAATTCAGTAGACAGTGGGCGGTTTGAACAGGGTGCTGGGGAAGCTGTAACCCCTGCCTCACAACACACGCATGGTTGTGAAATGGATTAGTCTGAAAATAAAATGAAAGACCAAATTGAGGAACATTTCTGTAGTCTGTGCACAGATTTGAAAGTTAAAGCTAAGGTGGGTATGGTGTCATCCACCTGTAATTCCAACACAGAAGAGTCTAAGAACTGCCAGGAGTTAAAGGCCAGCCTGGGCTACATAGTGAACACCAGGCTAGCCTGGGCTACGTAATGAATACCAGGCCAGTCTGGACTGACGTACAGAATGAGCTCCCCAAAGAATGAACAAAACACAAGCTAAGGCTATAATCAAAAGTTTATAGGAGAAAACTGCAAGGACTTGTCATAGCTAGAGCACACAACCGTGTCCCCACATATCAAGGGGATTATCCACAAAAGAAGGCAGAAATCATCTGTCTGTCATAGCCATGCAAGGCACGGAGGAAGATATTACCAGCACTGCATCACCTCATTGACAGCGGTCTGACGCATACATAATAACCAAGGCTGTAATTGGGTCTGACCAGTTCAGTGTTTCCAGTTCTCTGGGACGTCTAGGTCCCTGCCCCCACCTTACCCCATGCCCGCCCCCTGGGCCCCTAGTTCCCCCTGCCTTGCTCTCACTCATCAGCCACTCTGTCCTCTGGTCAGCTCTCTTACCACAGGGCCTTTGCATAAGCCATATCCACTCAGACCCCTGACCGCTGTAGGGATAAGTCCCGCCCCTAAGGGGGTGTGTTCGCCTCGGGCTAATGTTTGCCTATAAATTTGGCTAGTGTGCTCCCAGCCACTGCTTCTGCTTTCCTGGTCTCCGTGGGAACGGTGGTTCTGTAAGTCTATTTCTCCATTAAAGCTATATATATATATATATATATATATATATATATATATATATATATTTTACAATCTGTCTGCATTCGTTTACGCCGTTACAGACCGCAGCAATTCTCATTAGGCCTGAGAAAACACCCTTTCCTGCTGACCCAGGCTAGCTGGGCTCAAAGGCTTCTGGAGCCTTTAGAAGGGATGCTGTCAATCAGACCCTGACTGTCCACTGAGAGATGAGCAGTGTCAGCCTGTAGTAGGAGGGACGGGCCACATCTCGCCGCCCAGCTAGCTTAACCCCCGAAATAACCACACAGAAACTGTATTAATTAAATTACTGCCTGGCCCACTAGGTCTAATTTCTTATTGGCCAACTCTTGCATCTTAATTCAACCCATTTTTACCAATCTGTATAACACCACGAGGTTGTGGCTTACTGGGAAAGATTCTAACCAGCGGCAGTCTCAGGCAGCAGCTTCATGGCCTCTGCCACACTGCCTTCTTCCTCCCAGCATTCAGTTTTCTTTCCCATGCCTACCTAAGTTCTTCCCTATCAAAAGGCCAAGGCAGTTTCTTTATTCAACCAATGAAAGCAACACAAATACAGAGGACCTCCTACACTATTCAAACTGTAGTAAAGAGGAGCAGGTCCTTTGTTTCATCCCACCCAGCTCCCAGCTGCCTGGCTAGCTTATACCCGAAATAATCACACAGAAATTGTATTAATTAAATTACTGCCTGGCCCATTAGTTCTAGCCTCTTATTGGCTAACTCTCACATCTTGATTCAACCCATTTCTAATAATCTGTATGTCACCACAAGGTCGTGGCTTACCGGGAAAGATTCAGCATGTCTGACTCTGGCGACTCTGCGGCGGCTCTCTCTGACCCTGCTTTCTTCCTCCCAGAATTCAGTTGTCTTCTCCACCTATCTAAGCTCTGCCCTATCAGGCCAAGCAGTTTCTTTATTGATCAACCAATGAAAGCATCCCAAATACAGAAGGACTTCCTACACCATCAGCCGCCATGTAGCAGTGTTGGGAGTGCTCTCTTGCTTCCCTAGACCCAGCAGCCATGTAGGTATGGTGTCACCATCAGGGTCCTATCTGTGAGGCAGAGCTGATTTTTACCCCCTGCCTGGCCTCCACTCACTTCCTCAGCATGAAGACCAGAGGCAGAAACCCACACTGGGTGAGTCAGTAGTCAGGTGTGCTTAAGGTAGGAAGGATTCTTAGGTTTCCAAGGGATGGCTGAGACATTGAGAAAGAACAAAAGATCAGAAGGAATGTTTCTGTGAATCCATGAGCTAAGTCTGGGCAGAGGCTGGCCTTATGCTGCACTGGAGGGGTGTCAGGGGTACGTGTGCAGGGCAGACACTGGGGCTGTGACATTCATCACTCGTGTGACCTCCACCCTTTTCTGGTGCAGCAACTGAACCATCCGAACATCATCAAGTATCTGGACTCTTTCATCGAAGACAACGAGCTGAACATTGTGCTGGAATTGGCTGATGCAGGTGACCTCTCCCAGATGATCAAGGTCAGGACAATGTCCTCTCAACCTGAATGGCACTCCTCCATGTCCCAGTGATGACCCTGGCCTGTCTCTGATCTCAGCACCTGCATAGGGTACCCTTGTCTTCCTGTCAGACAGGATGAGTCAGGGCTATGATACACAGGACCCTTTAGACCTACACTGCTCCATCCTAGAGCACATGGGGACACTTTTCTGTACAGAAGGAACAGGAACAGATAGATAGTCAACACCTCCAAAGATCAGACTTCAATTTCTGTCTCAGAGTTAACTCTTGCTGTGATGAAACACCTGACCAAAAGCAACTTGGGGAGGAAAGAGTTTATTTGGCCTACACTTCCACATCAAAGAAAGTCAAGGCTGGAACTCAAACAGGGCAGGCACCTGGAGGCAGGAGCTGATGCAGAGGCCATGGAGGGGTGTTGCTTACTGGCACTCCTCATGACTTGCTCAGCCTGCTGTCTTATAGAACCCAGGACCACCAGCTAAAGATAGTACCATCCACATCATGGGGCCCTCCCACATCAACCAGTAGTTAAGAAAATGCCAGGAGCTAGAGAGATGGCTCAGTGGTTAAGAGCACTTGACTGCTCTTCCAGAGGTACTGAGTTCACTTCCCAGGAACCACATGGTGGCTCACAACCATCCATAATGGGATCAGATTCAGCACTCATATATATAAAACACACAAATAAATGAATCTTAAAAAAAAAAAAAAGAAAGAAAATGCCCTATAGGCTTGCCTACAGCCTGATCTTACAGGGGCATTTCTTAGATGAGGTTTCTTCCTCTTAGATGACTATAGATTGTATCAAGTTGCCATAAAACTAGGCAGCACAATTGACCCCTTGTCAGCTTGACACACAAGCACTTCACTCTTGAGCCATAACCTTTTCTTTGTTCTTTCCCAAGATCACACACTAATATTAATGTCACAATATAAGACATTTCACACACTCAAAAAGTTCCGCCATTTTTACAAATTCAAACACTTAAAAATTCAGTTTCTTTAAAAATTCCAAGTCCTGTAAAATAAAAAATAATTAAGTTAAATATTTCCTTACTTTAGGGGGAAGAATGGGGCACAGTAACAATGTGTATAAATTAAAGCCGAACTTAAACTGAATAATAGCTCAGTGTCTGGTGTCTGGATCCACTCATGATCTTCAGGGTTTTTCCAAAGGACTTGGGTCAGTTCCCCAGCCCTGCCCTCGTCTTCTCGGCTCTGGCAGGGTCCTCTGCACTGCTGTTGCTGTTCTTGGTGGTCATCCCATGGTACTGGCTTCTCCAACACTGGGGTCTCTGCTGCAGCTGGGCTGCACTTTCACTGATAGCCTGTGCTGGGCTCCCTCAGTGCCAAGCCTCTGCTGCTCTCTGTCCCCTGCATTTCTTCAACACCCCCTCCCCCCACTACCAAGCTCAGCTGCCAGCACAGGGTGCAACCTTGGCCGCCTCTGGACACACGTCCCAGAAGGTTTCACCTCAGTGATGCTAGTCTCTTCTATCAGTGCTGTGTTCTCAACTCCAGCCAACTAGCATTGATTAGTCCAGCAAAGCAGAGGCTTTCACTTCTGTGGTTCAGTCTCATAGCCAGTGTTTCAGCCCCAGCTGAGCTGGCCAGAACCACAGATTCTTAAAGTGTGCAGTCTTTAGGTGACATGTCTGTCCTATGGCTCCAGTTGCCACGATCTATATAGTAGGGAAAACTGAGGCCCAGAGAGGTGGTCCTGTCTGAGAACACAGTCATTGTCTCCACCGCCCACGTAGTGAGGAGTCCATGCCTGGTCTGTGACAGCTGAGCATCTGTGAGCCTGTATAGTTCAGTGCCATGTTCTCTGATATGCCATAAACTACCTGTTCCCCTCCCAGGACTCAGGAGTAGAACTACTACTTTGGGTTTGGTTTCAGGGACATGGCAGCTCCATTGAGTGTCATCATCAGTCAAAGGCAGGCTAAGCCACTGAGCCTGTGTTCTCCTCAGCAAGCTCAGCCAAAGGCAACACAGCTTTTAAGGGAAAAAGCCCTAATCCTTACTTCTACCCTGAGGTCCTCATGTCCCTGCTGGCATGGACCCCATCATCTGTCTTCCCTGAGCCTAGCCTGTCCTAAGGGAAGCCAAGCCATGCTCAGGCCCCACACTGAGCTCCCGCTGTGTTTGGATAAGAGCCGACTTAGACTGTCTTCCCAGCAGGCACAGGAGACTAGGCAGTTGTTTGTCAGTTGCTCTTCAGAAATTTGGCCCCTAGGAATATGGTGTCGTTGGGAAGCAGCATTACTGCGCTGTTATCACCTGCTTTTATATTTCCGTTGACATATTAATGCATTTGCAGGGTGTTAATCTCCACACGGATCTCTGGTGGGAACAGACGCAATACATCATGTTTCATGCCCCTTCACTTACCGTCTCCCTACACATACCCCATGTATATGTGCAACTCTCTACCATCTTGCTATGTGCCAGCCCCCACCAAGACCTCAGGGATCCACCACTGCTGGTGGTGCCCCCAGGGCCTTGAGTTCCACCAGGAAGGTAGGCTCTAGAGTGAGCCAGGGTAGGGTCTGTGGAATCAGGGCGGGTGGAGGAGGTGATCCCGGAGCTGAGTTGACCTCAGAGCAGATGAGAGAGGAGCTGGATAAGCACTCCAGAGGGTGAGGTGCACTGTGCTCCAACAAGGAGCCCCAGGCGAAGAGGTGGCATGGGGTCAAGGCTTCAGGCTCAGGAGCTTCCTCAGACTCCTGGAAGGAGCAGATACAATAAGCCTTGTGTTTGGAAAACTGGCCAGCAGGGGGTGGGTGGGGGTGGAGCAGGAGCAGAGAACTGGAGCCCTCTTTACCCTCCATCCGCTGCAGCCCACGGACCTCAGGTTTCTAGGACCTCTCAGACTCTGGAATAGAGGTGGACAGCATTTGGCCAGGGTTTGGGGGTGCTAGGCATTACTCCCCTTCCTGGTGACCGTTTAAGGAGAGGATTCTGGGAAAGGGCTGTAGGCCAGACCAACTCCTTCAAACTAAAGGAGATGGACTGGGCAGCTAGCCTGCTGGCCTCTCTCTGTGTGCCCTGGGCTCCACAAAGAACTGACTTTGGGTAGTGTGGAAGCTCTTCCTGCCCAGCCTTCCTCCCTGCCGGCAATAGCCGACTGCACAGGCTTCCTCCCTGTCGGCAATAGCCGACTGCACAGGCTTCCTCACAGGCAGGACTAGGACTGTGGCAACTCCAGCCAGCAAGGGAATTGGGGCGGTGCCCTAACTGAACACACTTGGGATGGCTTAGCAGGCCCCACACCGAGTTTTCTCATACCCACACTGCCTGGTTGCCTGGTAGGATCTGTTGCCATATTCTTCCCAGTTCTCTAGGTATCCAGGGGAACCCTGCCTTTGCAACCAATCTCAAGCCTGGGTCACACCACAGTGTTCCCACTGGTCAGTGGGGCCTGTGTCCTGAGGGCTTACAGCCTCAGGGGCCAGCCAACCATGGTGCTGGTATTATTTACAGAGCTGGTGAAGCCTAGAGCCACCACTGTCTGAAACCCACCAGAGACTCTGTGCCTTCCTACTAAATGTCAGCTAGCACTTATAGAGTGTGACATTTAGAAAATCACCACTCCCGACTGCACTCGGCCTCACGTAAACACTATAATGAGGACCAAATAACATTGTGGTGTAAATAACAGCCCACCCAGCCTGCTGCAGAGGCCTGGGGGTGGCCCAGGGCAGAGGTCTTCTGGGAGACCAGGACAGCTAGCCCTCTGGCTCCGCCTAGAAGGACCTCAGGAGAGCCTCAAGGGGCTCAGCTTCCAGGCCAGCAGCTGGCTGCCGTCATGGCCTTGCAGCTGGAGGTGCCCAGCTCTGGATCCCAGCATACGGCACCTGATGGCTGTTTAGTCTCTCTGGGCATGGTCCCTACCACAGGTTCCCAGCATCATTAGATGTGCTGAGGAACTAAGACCTAACTAACCTCCCCTTATAGCACTCAGCACCTTCATGCTTCTTCCTGAGGGCCCAAGAGCATGGCTGAGCATGGTCTGTGCACAACATGACTTTCCTTCCACTCCTGTTCCTCACCAGGAGCAGGCACCTAGCAGTTCCTGGCTTCCTACACTAGAGTCTTTGCTTGGCAGGAGGCCACAGTGCTGCCACTTGCCACTAGAACCATAGCTTGGTGGCCGGGTAACTGGTGCTGAGGAGCTCGCGCACCCCAAAACACACATCTGTTACTGCCCCTGTGCCTCAAGGCATGTTCCTGCGTTGTCTTTCCAGAACCTTCTGTTTCAGTTCTCTTTCAGTGCACCCTGGGGGAGTTGTATCTTTGGCTTTTTTCTTTCTTTTTTCCTGGGGGATTGAGTGTGGTTTACTAGGTCCTGGCTAGTTTTATGACAGCTTGACACAGGCTAAAGTAACATGTAAGGAGGAGCCTCAAAGGAGAAAATGCATCCGTAAGATCCGGCTGTGGGCGTTTTCATAGTGACTGGTGGAAGAGGGCCCAGCACTCCTCCGTGGCCTCTGCATCAGCTCCTGCCTCCAGGATCCTGCCCTGTTTGAGTTCCTGCCCTGACTGCCTTCCATGGTAGACTGTGGTGTGGTAGTAGTAGATAAAACAAACCCTCTTCTTGCAAAGTTGCTCTGGTCATGGGGTTTCATCACAGTAGTAGATATTCTAACTAAGACACTAGGCAAGGAGGCAGATTAATGCCCACTGCAACCAAGGGGCTGCTTGAGAAAGATAAGCTCTCTCTCCAAGGGTTTTCTGCCTTTAGCAGTCACATGACACTGGACTTGCTGGCTCTGAGGACATGGGAGCAACAATGGCTGCTTCTCAGGCATGGTCAGGGCTGAGGGTGAGTGTCCCTTCCCCAGGATCCTCTGGGCAGAGGTGTGGACACAGCCTTCTGGCGCACTTTGTGCCCCCACCGCTGTAGGCATGCTCACACAGGCTTGTCTGTCTCCTTACAGTACTTCAAGAAGCAGAAGCGACTTATTCCTGAGAGGACCGTGTGGAAGTACTTTGTGCAGCTGTGCAGCGCTGTGGAGCACATGCATTCTCGGCGTGTGATGCACCGAGGTGTGTGCCCCGCAGGAACTGGGACCCCAGCCCTGAGATCTCCAAGCGCCCTAAGAGCCGCCCTGAGAATGAGTTAGGCCATTTAGTGTTCCCCACACAGGGTATCCAACAGCTGCGTTCACTTCTGTTCCATGTCAGGAAGCAAGGGACCCGCCTGACACCAGTAGTCACCACATAAGCTTCAGGGAACAGGGCCACCTCAGCACTTGGTCTCCACTCGTCCCTGATGTGGCCGATTCTGGTACTGAAGCCAGCTTTGCCCGGAGGAAGGAAGTTTCCTGTGGGCTTTGACACCTTGGTAGGAGTTGGCTAAGCAAACTACACCCCCATCCCACACCAGGAAGTGAGGTGGGACACCGGTGAGTGCTTCTGAGAGGCACCCTGAGGTGTGAAGCTTGCTGGGAAGGTGCCAAACTGGTGCCTCTGTTTCCCCCTGCAGCTGTGCAAGTGACAGTCTTCTAGCACTGGCAGCCATACAAAAGGAGACAGTGGTATAGAGATCTCTGCTCCCCACTCACGGCTAACCTGGAAAGGGGGGAGATAGATAGACTCATGTTATAGGTGAAGAAAACAAGGCTTGGGGAGCAACTGTCCCAAGGTCCCTCTGGGTGGCAAGCAGGGCCACAGGGAAGCCTCAGGGAAAGGGACCTGCCTATGGGCTTTGATGTTTGAGTGGCAGTTGGTTTTGCCCTGAGTGAGGGCCTACCCGTTACCCAAAGGTGCTTCGTTGTCCCTCCCAGGCCTCTGGCCTCCTATCCTTTCTAAGCCTACTTTCCCACACCAACCCCATGTCCTCGCCCTGCAGACATCAAGCCTGCCAATGTGTTCATCACAGCTACAGGCATTGTGAAACTTGGCGACCTCGGCCTGGGCCGCTTCTTCAGCTCGGAGACCACTGCAGCCCACTCACTAGGTAAGGGGGCTGTGGGCCTGGGTGACCTGGCCAGAAGCATTTGCATAGTGTGGGGCAGATGCTTTTTGAGTCCCTAGAGTTCACTCTTGGCTTTGGTATAGATCCAGAGTAGAGGAAACTGAGGCCCAGAGGGGCCATGGGGGCCTCCCTGTATCCCTAGGTCACCTCGCATACATCCTGGAAGGCCAACAGACCCTGTTATACAGAGTGGGCTGCATCTGCGTGCTTTGCGGTCCTCTTGTTGTGCCCTATTGGCCCTGTGGCCTGTACTACAAGTGGACCTGCTTGTTAGACTATGAAGTCAGTCTTGGGGTGTGGGGCCAGGTGGCTGGACTGTGGAGGAAGAGCAACTGGGAAGGCCAGGGAGGATCCACACCCAATTGGGGGAACCATGCACGGGCTTGGGTGGCTGGGTACAGGCCTAGATGCCCCTGTTGAGGGTGGGAGAGGGCGGCTACTGAGAGAAGAGGGGAAAGACTCAGTCAGGTGAGCTTCCAGTGAGGCGGGGCTGTGTCAGCTTCAGAATCTGTGTGCAGGAAACGTGAGTGATGAAAATGGAGCCCCTTCCCTTTCGTTAGTGTAAGGAGCTCACACAGCCAGTGCGGCACAGACAGGTGTCCTGTGCAGTCACCCAGGGGCAGCAGGATCTCACCAGGAATTCATGAGAGGCAGGCAGGCATCTCCCTGATTGTCCCCCCAGTCAGTTCCCAGCATCTCTTGGGCATGACTAGGGGAGGCAGAAGGGACAGAGGCCACCCCCCGGAAAACCCTCTGGTTCTGCTCATTACTTTCCACTCTGCAGCTCCAGTCCATGTGTCTCCCGTCCCCCACACCTGGGTGCCAACAGCAGCTTCTGGTGGCGGTCTGGGTGCTCCGTGGGAAAGCTCCCTCTGGAAACTGTCGCTGTTCATTCAGGTCATGATGGCTGAGACTCCAGGCATGCACTTGTGAGAAATGAGCCAGCAGCTTGCAGAAGTGTTAGTGGAAATACTCTTCCTTGACTCCCTTGTTCCCTAACCCTAAGGAAAGGTTGTGTTAGGGGCCATACCCAAGGACATTAGGATGCTGTGTTAACCTCCACTGGCCTTCAGGCACCACAGGACCTAGAAACTGGAGTTCAGGGAGCTGGAGTGATTTCAAGGTCAAATGGTGTCCCTCAAAGCCAAGGCTACAATACTGGTCTATCCTGCTCTACAATACTGGTCTATCCTGCTCATTGCCTACTTCCACAAGGTCAGGGCCAGGGGCATCCATCAGGGATCCCCAGCTACTGACTCTGTGACTGGAAGGAAGCTTCACCTTCTGAAGGTCCCAGTCTGTCTGTTTACTGAGTAGGATGCCATTCCTTTGTGGTGTGGGGTGACAGAAGTCAGGGCCTCCCACATGCTAGGCAAGTAAGTGTTCTACCCTGATAACATTTGGTTTAAGAGTTTGGAAAAGGTTGGAACTCAAGGAAAGAGCAAAGGCACTGCCTCCTGGGCCTGTCAGCCAGTGGCTAGTCAGAGCTGGTTAGGATCACCTTGTTAGGGACGGCAGAGTCCTGGCTCCTCCGCAGTGTGATTTATCCGCTCGGACCACTGCACTTATTCCATTAATAAGAAGAACTGGACACCTCCCTAGGCCTCCTGCGCAGATCCTGCAAGATGGGTGCAAGGCACTCTCCCGGCCCCATCCCTGCTCCAGGCCATGTGCACCAGATCCAGGAGGCACATGGGTCGAGGGTGCTCCACCAGTCTGAGCTTGCTGGACCAGCTCTAGGAGCCAAGGCCCTGGAGGTTGGCAGTGCAGACCCACAACCCATGGCCCAAAGTCTCCGAGTTCTAGAGGAAAGCACCCTTCTGCCACCAGTTTTGTACACAGCCAAGTGCACACAAGTCTGGTTGGACAAGAAATAGAACTAATTGCTATCACACCATGACACAGGAAGGATATAGAGGCCCTTCTCACTCTGTATGTGGCTATGAATCATTCATCCTCTGCAACTAACGTGCCTCTACTATGTGGGGATGCTGGGGCAGTAGCCACATTGTCCTGGCAACCTCCTCATCACCCAAAGCTGCTGACCCGAGCCTTCCCTTCTCTGCCTTCCCTTTCTGGCCCCTCCTTATGCCTGTATTTGCTAACGGGAGGCTGGCATGAAAGGGCATTAGTCAGTGCCATGGTCGGGCTGACAGGTGCGGTACCCAGCGGTGGCAGAGCGGCTGCCTCTGTGTCAGGAATAGGAGCCGTAATTAGAGCTCGGAACAGAATGAGCGTCAGACGAATTACCAGGCAGCAGATCATATTTGTCAAGAAGTATTGCATACATAAAAATTAAGTGACAGTACACGCCGGCATAATGAAAGAAAAATGAAAGATTTGCCTATACACAGCTCACAAGCTACAAGCAAGTGACTCACTCCAAGCGACGGCAGCAGCTTCGAGACAAATGGTGGGTCTGGAGAGCAGGAACGCAGGCCTTGTGTTTGGCAGTGGTGACAGTGGTGACAGGGTGCCTCAGGCTGAGACTGGACAGAGTAGGAAGGGCGGCTGGGGGAGCAGAGCCCTTTGGGAACAACCCCATCAGGGAAAACAGTCAAGGTGCTCTTGGCCTGACTTGGTCATGGGCTTCCAGACCAGGCTTCCCTGCCTTCAAGGGGCCACAGATTAGCAGAGACGAGCTGGTGAGAGGGTGGGTGGAACGTTTTCCCTGAGGCAGAATGTGTGTGCAGGTGTTGGCCGAGAGTCTAAGCTCTGCCTGGAGGAGCCCAGCGTCACCCAGAATCTGCAGCCACCAGTCACCCTGCACTCCAGTGTCCACTCAGGTCAGAAGAGGGTGGCCTTTAGAAATGTTTGAGAAACATTTTGCTTTCATAAGATGGCCTCACTCTCAAGACCTTCCTCCTCATTTTGCTGAGAATGAGAGAGGTGAGGTCATACCGCTAGTTGCTGGCACATGGGCAAGGAAACATCCCTTGTCCAGGTGGTCTTCATAGTGTGGAGACAGGTGGGTCCCACCAAGCTGCCTGGGGCAGGGACATGTGGTGAGGAGGGCAGAGTGCCATGCACTGGACCCTGCTATGTACGACCAGAGCGTGCCATGTGGATTTGCAGTCCACACAGACAGACATGCCCAGGGATGCTTGCTTATCGGTGAGAATTCACCAAGGACCAAACACTCTTCCAACCCCACTTTCCATTGTCCAGTTGGGAAAACCAGCTGCTAAGCATTGTCCAGTTCCACTGATGAGGAACCAAGGCAGAGAAGCATTGTGGCCTTTGGCCAGAGAGTAGCCAGAACAGGTCACACTAGGGGGCAGTTTGCATAGATCTGCCTGCCATCCTTCCTGGAGTCCAGGCTTTAGCCCCACCTGGGGAAGGGTAGCTTGCAGGCACTGGTCTTTTTCATTCCTAGCGTCTCAAACAAGCATTTCTAACCCTTGTAGTACATTTGGACAGGGGTGTGTGTTGGTGGGGGCTCTTCAGGCAGTCAGTCTTCCACTTTGAGGTCCATGTGGTTTCTGCCAGGTTTGGAGTCCTCGGTTCCAGGGCAAAGACTCGGGAAGGTTAGGCTTGGGACCTTGGCTCCTGCTGTGAGGAGGGACTGGGACCAGGCAGGGTGCGCTCTGCTGCACATGGGAAACTAGTTGGTCCTCCTCTGGGACAGGACACTGCCCAGGGAGGTACCCTCTCCTGCCAGTTTCTCTCCAGGTTCCCCAGAATCACTCTTCTCTTTGATCTGGAGCCAGATCCCCCAGTGGCCTGCTGCAAGTCTGTTGTTTTATCTGTCTCACAAGTGATGTGTTATGCTCCATCGTGTTTCCTTGTTTGTCATTACCTGGCTGGAAAACCCAGGTAAAGTGGCATAGCTGAAGGAAGTGCCATGCTCCTCAGCTTCGTACTCCCCTGGTAAAGGTTGTATATCCCGTCTCCAAAGCACAGTACCCCCGAGCCTATGAGAAAGCCTGGGTCAGGAGCCCAGAGGGCACACCGCTCTCCAGAATGGGCAAACTGCCCTCAGCTAGTAGCTCCTGATTTCATTCCCACATGAAGCAGGTGGGTGAGCAAGGCTCAGGGGCTCCTCTCAAACTGTAGCTGTGTGCTCCCAGAAGCTCAGGACAGGGACAAGCATCCAAACTCCAGGCCTAGTTAGATGTTTACTAGAATCCTCCTGTGGCTGTGCCTGTGCCTGTGCAGACTCACCAGCTGTCTGCTGGACTCTCTGGGGTGGGCAGCTCTCTCCCAGCATCGGGCCACAGCTCCACCAACCACCAGATGGAAAGGCGTGTGTAGGGACAGACGGATGTGTGAATGGGTTCCGACGAGCAGGTAGCAGATGAGTGGGTAGACAAGACAGACAGGTGGATGGGTGAATTGAAGGAGGCATCTTGGAAAAAAGTTCCTCCCTGAGCGTGGTGCTGCACATCCGTAATCCCAGCACAGGAAGCAGAGGCAGGAGGATCCTAAGTTGAGGGTCAGCTTGGGTTGCCTAGTAAGATGCTGTCTCACAAAGCCAAGGGCTGCACATGTGGCCCAAGGGTTGAGCATTAGCATGGGCAGAATCTAGATTCCAGCCCCGACACTGCATCAGAAGAAGGTAGTGACAGGTGCAGGTAGTGAGTTCAAGGACAACCTGTTTCATGTAGAGGGGTTCAGTGAGGTGGAAGAGCAATAGTAAGAGGAATGCAGCTCTCCTGCCTCTCCTTGGCAGCCCTGGCTCTCTTGCAGGCCTTAGCCAGGCTCTGCTTTAGACCCAGAGAGAGAACCTGGTGGCTGGCCTTGCTGTAGCTTCCCAGTACACAAGCACAGTGGAGCAGAGCTCAGAGGAGACTAGATGGCAGCTAGAACTGGCTTGGGGAGGAGTTAGACGGCACAAGGTGCTGGACAGGTCTGCAGGCTTCCTGCAGATGCCCACCCTAGAGACCCTCCTGCCTGGGACTCAGGACAAGTGGGAAGAGCCATGGGGCAGCCTTGTTTGTCTCTAACCCTGTCTCCTGGCCAGGGGTGCCTCCAGCTGTAGCTCCTGGGCGCTGGAATGCAATGCTGCTTGTCCCTAGGTTCCCACTGCTGATCAAGACCTATGGATTCTGCCCAGGGTTGGGCTGTGACACCTGTTCACTTAGCACCTCGCCATTGGCTTGGTTTTTGTATTCTCATGACTGGAGTGCGCAGGTGTTTATTTTTGATGTCCCACTTGACTGTAAGAGGTCACAGCTGCTCATATTGAGAAGCCACCAGCCCCGGACTACAACCATGGAGTGAGTACAAAATAGAATGTCCAGTTCTCAGCCATGTCTGAGTGATGGCTGCTAACACGATGAAGTCACGGTTAGACACACGCATTCACGGGAACCATGTCTCAGACCACTGTCTGTGGAATAGATGTAGCATTAGGCTACAAAGGAGAAAAAAGATACGCACAGCCTGTTATATAACAGACCCATGTCCTCGTGACTCCTGCCATGGACCAGAGCTGTCCTGCCCAGGGTGTTCAGAGCCACGGGACAGAATTTATACCCTGTCTGGAGCAAAGCAGAGGTTTTACCCCACTCCATGAAGATCCTACCACCTCCCAATTATGCCATCAGCTGTGAACTGTTAGCATGTAGTCTTTGGGGGGAGGGGTGTTTCAGAGGAGGGGTGTTTCAGACGCAAACCGTCTTGGTTAAGTGTCAGTCCGTGTCAGATAGACCTGGAGGTGGTTTTCTCTGTCCCTCTGCATTTGTTCCTTTCTTCTTGCTGTGATAAGTACCATGAGCAGAAGAAAAAGCCTGTTTTAGCTCACAGTTCCAGAGAGGGAGTCCATATTGGGGAGGCGCCGAATGTGTCCTGGCAGTGTTACTTAACACAGGCTAGAGTCATCTGAGAGGAGGGAGCCTCAACTGAGAAAATGCCTCCATAAGACTGGACTGTAGGCAAGCCTGTGGGCATTTTCTTGACTAGTGATTGGTGTGGAAGGGCCCAGTCCATTGGAGGTAGAGCCATCCCTGGGCTTCTGGTAGTTCTGGGTTCTGTAAGAAAGCAGGCTGAGAGCAAGCGATGGGGAGCAAGCCAGTGAGCAGCACCCTCCATGGCCTCTGCGTCAGCTCCTGCCTCCAGGTTCCTGCCTTTAGTGATGGTGTGGCCGTGGTGTCTCTTCACAGCAGTAGGACAGCAGCAGCCAGCCAGGCAGGGAGCCGAGAGATCATAATGAGCAGCCCCCTGACAAGCTTCCTCCTCAGTAGCACATCATTGGGAACCACAGCCTAACTTGCCCATCAGCTCTGAACGGTATCTTTGGTGAAATGAAGGGCTTCAGCATCATGAAGTTGATCATTTTAATGAATTGTCCCCTTTATGTAAGACTCTTCACCTACCCGAGCCTCAGTTTCCCCTCATGTCAATGTAAACAGTAGTTCTTTTCTGTTGAGAGCTTGTTCTGGGCTGTGCCAGATACAAACTGTCACCTAAAGGGACAGTAGCCACTTGCTTTTCTGCGGTGAAGTCATATTGAACCCTGGCTATGGTGGCCCCCAACCAATTCTTAAATCTGAGGGATCCTGGGGATCTCTTAAAGTTCTGTTAACATGGGCAACTATCTCCTCTAGCCCAGGAGTGGGCAGGCCGTATCTCCTCTCCTGAGCCCCTGTTCTTGCCCCTTGTTGTGTTGCAGTGGGAACACCATACTACATGTCACCAGAGAGGATCCATGAGAATGGCTACAACTTCAAGTCAGACATCTGGTCCCTCGGCTGTCTGTTGTATGAGGTAAGTCTCTCGTGTGCAGCTTGGTGTTCCATGGGGGCACAGGAAGGACAGGCTCACCCTACCAGCTTAGGGCAGTACCAGTGCTGCACAGACCCAGCTGTCCTTCACCTTCACAGACATGGCCTCAGTAATGTGATCAAGCCACCCTTGCTGTACTGTGGGCTCCAAGAAGGGGACAGACCAGTGGGGTATCCCTGCTGCTCTTCTCTGGTTTCTTCAGTAGCCATGTTTGTGTATTGTTCATCAGTAGAGGTCCCTCATAGGCACTGGAGTGGGTATGGAGTCACGCCCGGCTTTGCCCGTGTTTTTTCTAGGCCTAACGTGGGTCTCAATGCAGACCTTTCCCTTCCCTAGCTGTGCAATGGTGTCAGCCTGTTGAGTCCTAGTATGCTCCTATTCATCTAAGATAGCCACAGGGAGGTCCTGGGAATGGGTCCATGGGGAGCACAGGCCACCAAGACAGGTGAAGTTTGGGCTATCTGATGTCACCTCCCACCAGCCTGCTGGGACCCAGTGCTGGGCATTCTCAAGAGTTCACCGCCTGTTTGGAGCCCTAATATGTATGCAGGGTGACAAACAGGTACGGGCTTTGGGATTAGCACTGGTCAACCTAAAGATCCTCATTATTAAACTGATGGCTGGGGACTGACTGCAGCAGCGACACTCAGGAAAGTGTCCCAGGCTACACCCAAAGAGACTAATTCCTTGGCTTCTGGGTACTGTCCCATGACTCTGCTGTGTATGCTGCAGGCACACACTACACTGCCCCATCACTAATCCATGTGGAGCTCTTTGGCTTCCTGGGTTCCAGACAGACAGTCTGGGGTCAAAATCCCAGTCTCTTTATAAGGTGTGGTTTAGTGTCTTTTTTGTTTTTTGTTTGAGACAGGGTTTCTCTGTGTAGCATTGGTACCTGTCCTGGAACTTGCTCTGTAGACCAAGCTGGCCTCAAACTCAGAGATCTGCCTGCCTCTCCCTCCTGAGTGCTGGGATTAAAGGCGTGCACCACCACTGCCAAGCTCAGTGTCTTTCTTTAAGAGCCAGGCGCCTGAGATGTGTTAGAGCAGACACAGCCTTTTCTCTGACGGGGGGAATGGGAGATGGAAGCACCGCTGCTTAGGTACACCCTAGCTGAAGGGGATGCATTTTAAATTTTAAATGCTTGGCTAGAAAAAATGCCCTTGTGGATTGGTTGTGTGGATCACCTCTTAGGTAGCCCAGTGTCATCAGGAAGGCCTCTGGGCAATTCAGGCCAGAGCAGTTAACAGTGGGGCAGGCCAAGTCTTTTTGAGACTCTGAGACTCAGTTTCAGGAAGAGACTTAACAAGCACCTGACTAGGGCCTGGGGTTCAGAGACTCCGTAAGAGTATGACCAGGCCTATCAGGTGCTAGGGGACAGCTGTTCAGGAACTCCCAAATACTCTCAACCATTGGGCCTCCTAGGGGAGCCATGCAGTGCCTGGCCGGAGCCCAGACTGGGCAAAAGGATCCAAGGTCCAAATCTCAGCAGCAGCAGTCCCCACAGGATATGGTCCATAGTCCCTTCCTTCCTCATCTGCTCCCGTGGCCCCAAGTGGGATAGTCTGCCTGTCTTGTGGCAAGAAGTATGAGGCCCTGTGTGTAAGCTCAGGCCTCTCGGAGCCCACTGGCCAGCTGAGCTGAGCTGAGCAGCTGGCGTCTGCTGCTAGTTCCTAGAAGCCCGGCAGCTTGACACATTTCCCTTTTTGCTTTGGCCAACAGGAGGTCTCAGCATAGCTCAGCTTGAGTCCTCATGGAGGGAGTCCCCTTTGACCCACTCATGTATTCTGTCCCCATCCAGATGGTTTATCCTTTTCTTTCTATCCTGTGTTGTGTATTTTCAGAAGCTGCTTCCTGTCCCTGTGGAGTCACAAGTGTCTCTAAACATAAACAGTCTGGTTGAGAGGAGAGCCGTCAGCATCCCCTAGGGCCAGTGGAAGGGTGGAGGATGACAGCTGGCTCCCTCTGCTCCTGTCCCCTGCCCAAGCCTTTGTTACCACTCCTCAGAGGCAGAGGCAGCCCAGTCTTGGTGTGCACCAAACCCAGGCATGGCTTTTGATGGGTTCCCAGCCAAGCAGGCTGTTCTAAATCCTGACTTGGTGCCTAAACACATACTCAACGAGGTGGCTTCCAGCATGGTGGCAGGACTCCGTTCCGCCATCTGATTAGTTGTTGGCAGTGTAGTGCTGCATGCCTTGTAGCCTTGCAGAAGGAGAAGGCAGTGGGAAGCTAAATAAATCAATCAGTTCCTCTAAGGCTGTTCGCCCACAAGGACAGAATGGAAGGCCATGGCCACGCACTGACTGCCTCGATGGTGAGCCCTCAGCAGTTGACAGTAGAGGCTGCTGAAGCTACAGGGCTTTGCACCCCTGCAGTGCACGGGGAAAGAAGTGTTTATTTTCCCAGCACATAAGGAGGGGCTCATCTGGGCCCGGGGCTGGGTAATTGGTAAGAGATGTCCTGTAGTCATGGCTGCCACCTCCCAGAGGCCACCTGTGGTGTCGTCCCGTGGTGTCAGGGTTAAGAGTTGGGACAAATTCCATCCTCCCACTCACTTAGACCACTGAGGATTCTCACGGTCCCCAGAGAACACATGCCGTGTCACCATGACCTGGGGCTCAAAGTGAGCAAGGCCAGAAACAGCCCCCTAGACATCCTTTGTTGACCCCAAGCACTGGCTGAGGTTTAGCAGCTGAGGTCAGTTCTCCTGTGGAGGAAGGGAAGTGAGCACAAAGCTGAAGGCTCACCTGGTGCCAGCCTCTGGCAGGGGGACCTCAAAGGCCCCACCTAAGACACAGACCCAGCAAGACCATGGGCTGGAAAAAGCTGCTTTTGAATTCTGGCTTGATCAGTGGAATGGTCTGGAAAGCCTCTCTCAAAGAACCAGGTCACATGTCCCCTCTGGCTCACCCTTCACTCCAGGCAGTGCTTGGGAGAAGCCTGTGGCAGATAACATAAGCGTCTGGGGCCCTTAAGTCTCATCTCCGTCTCCCTCCACATCCTAGGTTATTTGAGACACACACATACACACAACACACACGAGTTCTTACCATTACTGGGTTGTGTCACATCCAAAGCCCCGGGGAGGGCAAGTCAGGAAGTAGCCAGTATCTGTAGTAAGTCCTTTGCTCCAGTCTGCGAGGAGCTGGCTGGCTACTGGTCTGAGTACATCTTGCCATCCTGGGTAATTGCTATAACCCCCGCATCGCCAGCAGGCCCTCAAGTTCCTTTACAGCCTTATCACAGTCTATCAGAGTGGCGGGTCCAGGGCCTCACTGGGTGCTAAGTAGTTCAGACAGGGCTTCTGAGAGAAGCTGCAGTTGAGGCTGGAGATGCCCTGGTGGCAGGAAAGCTCCCTTGCAGAGCCTGTGCAGAGGTACTTTCTGGGGTGGAGAAGGAACAGATAATGGCCACCCCTTTCTCCAATTTTCTGGGCCATCTGAACTTCCAAAGGGCCAGGTTTGTGAAAATCCCATCAGATTGGCCTGTTGAAGGGCAGTCAGTCTCTCTCCAGTGGAAGGGTGGAGGATGACAGCTGGCTCCCTCTGCTCCTGTCCCCTGCCCAAGTCTTTGTTACCACTCCACAGAGGCAGAGGCAGCCCAGTCTTGGTGTGCACCAAACCCAGGCATGGCTTTTGATGGGTTCCCAGTCAAGCAGGCTGTTCTAAGCCCTGACTTAGTGCCTAAACACATAAGAATCACTGGGTCAGCATTAGTGGGACTGACACCCAACACCTTGCCTACCCACAAGCCAGGACACTCATCTGGATCCTACAGCTGTGACTCTGAGGGCTACCGAGGAGCCTCAGCTGCTCTACTGTGGCAGATGTCCTTCTGAAGTCCCAGTAATCGCTGGCACCAGGCTCCCGTTTCCATTTTTGAAGGCACATCGCCCATTTTGCACGCCTTGTGGCAAAACCAGCTCCTGGGTGTGGGTGAGGCCTCTGTATACTTGCCACTCCCTGCCTGCCTGGTACAGAGGTCACTGCAGCCTCACTGTGAAGTGGGGCTCATGGGCCAGTTGTGTTCCCTCCACCATGAGGACCCCAAGGTCAACAGTCCCACAAACCTCCATACTTATCTGCTTGTTTTGCCTAGCCCAGGTTAAGATTCCTGCATCAAACCCTAAACCAATGTCCCCTACTTTTGAAGCCATCTGTGGACCCACTGGCCCTTTCTGAAGATGGCGAGCTGTTCTTGGAACCAGGCTGTGAGCAGAGGGTGGGGGCAAACCTGACAGTCACACACCTTCCCTGGGTTCCCTCCTGACCTAACCTGGAACTTTGACCCAGTTCCCAGAGGACTCCTCAGGTATGCGGGAACTCTGCAGCGGGACCTGGACTGGGTGGGGCCTGATTACCTTACCCAGTGAATGACCCTTCACTAGCAGGAACATCTAGGCTGTCTTTTGGCAGAAGGCAACAGGAAGTGAGTGAGAGGAAGCACTTGAATGCCATTATGGATTTATCAGCAGATGGGGCCCTCAGGTGCCAGGCTAGCATCTCTGAGGCTTTCCCCAGGTGTCTGAAGGCCTCAAACAGGTGGGTGGGGAATCTGGCTACTTCAGGAAGAGGGAGGCATGAACCTTCTCTCCTGGGTAAGAACACAGCAGGGCCACTGTCCAGCAGTCCTGTCATTCCCCAGTGCCCATCTGCCTGCCTCTCTTCAAGGTGCTCAGGGCGGTGTCTGAACCTTGCCACACCATGTAAGTTGGGGCTTCCAACTTAGCGGGGCCAGACAGGCAACTGCAGAGCCCAGTGTCTCTCCCCCTGGAGTGTCCCTGAGGGAAAGGGCACTAGCCTGCAGACAGCAGTGAAGGAAGTGATTCCAGGTCCCCCTCCCCACATCTGTCCCAAGAGCATTAGCCCTTCATGCATGACCTTTCACTGAAGGTATCTTTCAGGCAGACATGTTCCCACCACTCTTTAGATATGTCAGTCCAAGTCAGGTATTACCATACCTGACTTGCCTGTAACCCAAGTACCCAAGAGTATGAGGCAGGAGGATTTCCATAAATTCAAGTCAGCCTGAACAAACAGAAATGGGCAGAGGAAGGAGCTTAGCTGCAAAGTGCTTGCCTTGTATGCATAAAGACTCAGCACTCTGCAAAAGCTGTGTGCTGGGCATGTGTACCGGGGAGGTGGGGACAGGCTGATCTCTGAGATAGCTTGGCATACCACTCATTGACAAGTGTCATGTCAAACGCTGTCTTAAAGAAAAGGTAACACCAGAAGCTGACTGTCCTGACTGTCCCCTGCATCACACACACACACACACACACACACACACACACACACACACACACAAAGACAATAATGAGAACCTGTTGGGCCCATACACCACCTAGGGGGCAGAGTCTCCATTCTTGTCAGTCAGTCCTTGGGAGAAGGGGAACTAGTGAGCTGGGGGACATGACCTCAGGACTCAACAGCACTTCCTTATTGCAATCCCAGCTCCTTAGGCTACAGGGAGAAGCCCACAGGACACTCACTGCACTGGGGACCAACCAGTGGTCCCTCTGGCTTCTGAAATCCTTTAGACCTTGAGGCTGATGGTTGATCGTCTATATCCCTTCCCTGGCAGATGGCAGCTCTCCAGAGCCCCTTCTATGGAGATAAGATGAATCTCTTCTCCCTCTGCCAGAAGATTGAGCAGTGTGACTACCCACCTCTCCCAGGGGAGCACTACTCTGAGAAGGTGAGCAAGCTGGGGTCCAGATGGAATGGTGCTGACGTTCCTGAGGCTTGTAGGAACAGCTCAGCTAGGAGCTGATGCCAGGCTAGGGGCATGATTACTAGGGAGGTGGGAGATGGGCACCCCAGGCTAGCTGGTTGGTCTCTTGCTCCATGTAACAGGCCTGTAACTCTGGAGGTTTTTGACTTTTCACATTTTATGCAGGATGCAGGGACTCTGGACAGTTACTGATTTTATGAAGTCATCCTCAGATTCATCATTTTATAGATGGGTTAAATTATATCTTCCTTGTGAGTAAACTATGAGGGGCAACTTTCAGGTCTCCTGGCACACTCCTGACAGGTCTGTATGCTCCCTTCACTGCCCTTAGAGGCTTGTTTTCCTCGTCTATAAAATGGAACCAAAACTAGAATCTCCTGTCCCGGTTCACAATAAGGATTAATCATGTGTCATGTTTAGTAGAGCCAAGCCAGCATCTACCACCACCATCAAAAGGAGCTATTGGAGGTAACAGCTTCATGTAAATGTTGCTAAACATCATTTGTTATGTCCGTTGAGAGTCTAAGGTCTTCCCAGGTCCACTCTACAGAACACAAGGCCACTGCCTCATGATAATGGCTCATAAGTATAACCCTTCCCTCATTATGTTTCCACTAAGGCAGTGTTCTCAACCTTTGGGGGCCAAAGGACCTTTTCACAGGGCCACCTAAGAACACTGGAAAACATATTTATATTACAATTTATAACAGTAACAAAATTAGTTATGAAATAGCAACAAAAATGTTAGATGAGGGTCACCATAACATTAGGACCTGTATTAAAGGTCGCAGCGTGAGGAAGGTTGAGAACCACTGCCTAAGGACAGCCCATCATCAGATGAGCTGAGGCTTTACAAGGAACTCCTTTTGCATGGAAGCTCTAAGCCAGCCTCCAAGTCCACTGGCTTTCAACCTGTTCAGTGGCCACCCCTGACGTGTGGCAGTCTGGAGTCTTTCTGCTCCAGTGGCTTGAGGAGTTCCCACTAGCCCCTCTGGTGACAGTATCTGTCTTCTGGAGAACAGGCTGGCTGGAAAGGAAGAACGGATTGCATTCTTCACAAAATTCATTGTTCCTTTCCTTGTTTAAACTAGAACTTCTGCTCTACAAGACATGTGACTTGGTTCCAATCAGTTCTGTGCTCCTGTGCCAGTCTGCCAGTGGGCATCATACACTCCACTTCAGAGAGCTCTATCTCTTTGGGCAGCCATTCTGCCTTACCAGCACATGCCCACGGCAGGAGCAGCTGCAGATTCTGTTACTTAGCACAGTGTATCCCTAAATACACCCCACTTTTAAAGCTTTATCTTAAGGTAGCTTGTCATTTTTGTTGTTTCTCCTTATGACTGGTAACTGTAGTCTGCTTCTAAGTGGTTGCAGGGCAGACTTCATCTTGATGTGGTTTTTGTATTTTTACCTGATGGGTCGGCCATGGTTCCCTTCCAGAGCAGCTTTAGAAATCACTGTTTGTAGATGACCTTGGACACCACCTTCAACTGCTCCTGGATTCCGGCTGTGGGATCACAAAATGCCAGGCAAAGGAGGGAAGCACATACTGTAGTTCTATAGACCAGTTAAGCCAGCTCAGTGAGGAAGCACAGTCCTAGCCCCTAACCTGAGGTGTATGCTGCAGCCCAGGGTCTCTGCAACATCCCTGGGCCTTCCCGGGGCTCTGCCTTCCTGAGGTCCTAGAGCTCTTTAGTCCAGGACCTCCCTCCCTCTATCTACTTTTGCTGGTATCACCAGCATCCCCAGCAGCAGGCACTGAGATGGAAAACTTTGCAGCCTGCCCAGTGTAGCACATTTAAGACCCAGGCTTTCTAAGGTCATTATTTTAATTACCATTAAAATGACTAGCATTCTGGCTATCAGAACGAGAGGGATAAGAGGCTTAAGGCACCCCTCCCCCACCCTGGCGGGCAAAGCCTTCAGTGTCTGGATAATTAAAAGCGTGTCTTTCATGAGCACAATGAAGAGGCCAGGGGGTGTTCAGACTGCAGCCTTGCTGCATGTTAATGCATTTATTATGATCAATAAGCCCTTTCCTTGAGTTTTCTCTGGTTTGGGCTTTGTGTGACTGACAGCAGACACACATGTGCAGAGTGCTCACACTCATGAATCTGCACAAAGGTGTGCACAGCTGAAAAATGATGATTATTTGAGGGTAACAACTCTCAGGGTCTCAAAGCATCACCTCTGGAACCAGACAGGCCTAGGTATGCATGGGCCTAGCCTCCCCAAAAGCTGTGTGATCATACCTTATCCTGCAAAGCATTCTTCACTTGAAAGGGGACAACAGTGCCATCTGAGGTGCCATGTTGCAAAACATGTGGATGTAGGTTTAACTAACAGAACTGCTCTTTCCTTGTAGCTTCGGGAGCTGGTCAGTATGTGCATCTACCCTGACCCCAACCACCGACCTGACATTGGATATGTGCACCAGGTGGCTAGGCAGATGCATGTCTGGACATCAAGCACCTGAATGCAGCATGCCTCATCAAAGCCATCCACCACTTGTCTTACTTGAGTCGTCTCCCCCGAGTGGCACCTGGAAGTTCCCAAAGCCAAGACCAGAGGGCTCAGCAGGCTCCCAAAAGTGGCTGCCTCAGCCAGTGAGCTGAAAGCAGCTGGGTTATGGTCAAACTCCAAAGTCCTTTTTTTGAACTGTTGCAGACAATCTGAGCTGGGCTATTAGTGGGGGAAGGGGCTTAGGCAGTCACTGAAGCCCCTTGTGCCAACTGCAATGTGAACCTCTGCCTGGTCCTTTCAGACCTGTGCAGGCCCACAGTGTCAGGAGGCTTGCAGGGAACAGGGTAAGGGTGTGGGTGAGCCTTTGCAAAAATGGCCACCAGCAGTTGTTTTTAGTTCTTAGTACCTTTCACACAACCCGGCTGTGTGCTTCATTTACTCTCTTGTAAGGGAAATGGAAATAACAGTTTAGAGTAGAGATTTCCCTAATACCTTCTCTGCATTTTATAACTGGTGAGTGACAGTGACTAGCACCCAGCATCAGACATTGAGAGGTGTGGCGTCCCTGCCACGTACCATGGCCTCCTGGAATGCTGTGGCTCACTGAAGGATAAGTGCGCAGCATTATCTATCCATGGGAAGAGATCAAGAAAAATCCAAGAGCTTTGCCCTCACACTGCGCTTTACAAATTCTGGTTCTGTATCTTCCTAGTGTGACTTGGACAAGTTTGTTGGCCTTTCTGAGCCTTCATTTCCTCATCTGCAAAAAGGATTAATGAGTCATCTATCTTCCAGGTGACTGACAGGGTCTTAAACAAAAGATATTACTTAGGCAAGGCAGCCTAGATTTGTTATCCCAGCACTTGGGAGGCAGAGGCAGGAGGGTTAAGGGGAAGTTTGAGATTGGACTGGACTACATAAGACCCTATCTCAAAAAAAAAAAAAAAAAAGAGAGAGAGAGAGAGAGAGATGCAAATCAGCCAGCAGTGGCAGGTGATCCAAAAATGCAGCCTGTCACTCTTTCAGAAAACTCAAGTCCGTGACCATGAGAGTCAAGAATTAAAAATACAACTGTATTAAGTGCAGGAAAAGCAGAAATATGTTCATTTACTTTTTGTTCTCAATAGGATTAACTGTGAAGACTAACTTATAAATGTGAATTTAAGGAAACTTAAGTGCTGGAGGAAACAGTCTGAATTATTTTGTTCTACTATGCCAGTGGTTCTCAAACCTCTATATTCCAAAAATATTTACATTATGATTCCTAACAGTAGCAAAATTACAACTATGAAGCAGCGACAAAATAACTTTATGACTGGGATCAGCACACCGTGAGGAGCTGTACTAGAGGCTCACAGCTTTAGGAAGGAACAACTGATATTGATATATCTATGCAGTACTACAGTACTCAAGCAATACCTGCTTGGTGACAGGCCAGTGGTGCTGTGTCTTGTCATATGTTTAAGTCATTGCCAGGTGAACTTACTACCCAGAGCTCCCAAAAATAGGGTCCCTGGCTGGCCACCACTCTCCGCACAGAGCCTGCACTCCAAGGAGGGCCTCTGCTCTTTAGACAAAATGGGAAGGGGGTGACTGCTGAGCGGCTCAGGGGTGGCCCTAACAGCACGTCAGTGTCATCTTGGACTGCAGACCAAATCCAGCACACAGCAGCAGCACAACTTCTTGAGGCACCTTTAGCAGCAACTTGCAGGCCCCAGACGTCCAAGGAATACCAGAATATCTTTAAGTTCCCCAAGTAATTCTGAGAATCATCAGCCAAGCTGCCGCCCTCAATAAATAAACCCACTGTATTCACTCAAGCTGGCTCCAGCAGTTTCCAACAAGGGAAGCGGGCTCTGTGGAGCGCCCCACAGTACATGCTCTGGGAGGACCAGAGTAGCTATCTCCTGCCCAGCACTGACTCCTCAAAGTTTTCCTGACTCTTGGTAAGCACCGCGTCTGCTCTCAGAGGCTGTTCTTGTGTCCCTCGCACAATTAGCCTTTTAATTTCAGTTGTCCATCCACTGCCCAAACCAAGAGAACCATCTGGCCAATAAAATGGCCTCTGATGTCCAGAGTCTCCACCAATCATCATCCAGAGAGCAGTGCAAAGCTATGTCCTAATTATCATAAACAACAAACCCCAAGCACTGCTTTGATTGTTACGAGAATGGCCAGAGTGGAGCTCACCAGTTTCACACAGCTACCTTTCTCTGGACCTGAGCATGCATAGTCCACGACCTCAAACTGAAGGTATCTGTCTCGTGTATCTATGTGGAAGGCAGCGTAGGATACCAGGGTAAACTTGGAGTCTTGTGCATGCAAGGCAAGCTGTCCACTGGGTCATGCCACAGCCCAAGACTCCTTCACTGCTTTCCACCTGAAATGCAGGCTGCTAGATACTGAATCACCCTGTTAGGAAGGACAGACGCGTGGGGCTGCCTCTAAGTGAAAACGAAGTAAGCAAGCACAGGCCTGGGTCATAGCCAGTCACTCGGAGAGCCAAAGGAACTCATTCTGGTTTCAGGCCACACCACTGACACACCCTGGAACTCAGGACACAGGAGAGTCAGGTCAGCAGAGCCCAGACCCATAGTCCAGCACTCACTGGGTTTTGTCTTTTTTTTAATTGAGCCTCACTCGGCAAGCAGTAGCCGAATGTATGTTTTGGAGCGTGGTGCACCCCAGTTACTCAAAGATATAACCAACCACCCCCAGCACCATTCACGAAGTGTCCATGGTCTGGACAGTCTCTTCTAGCACCTCGATCTCCAGAGTGGTGACTTTCTCAGTGAGGACAGCTGTAGTGCCTTTCTCACACCTGTACCGGCCAAACCTGATGAGAGAAACAAAAGCAGTTAGGCCAAGACAGACACTGTGCCCAGACAGCAACAGGCTTGACTGGAGTCCTGGGGCTTCAGAGAGTCAACTGCCAAATGCTACAAAATGGGGCACTTGAAGGGTATGTGTTAACACTTAAGAGATAATACAAAAGCACTGGTTTTCCATTTTCCTTCAACACTCCACCATCCTCAGTACATGATGTATTTGGTCATTTGACTTCAGGCTGTCACTTCCTTAAAACTTACGTCCTTCCATGTAGCAATGTGAGTGACACAATATGGCCTTCTGCCCCACAACTCTAGAAGCACCAGCAATACAACTAACATAGTCCAGACATCACTTCAGAACACACAAGGCCAACTGTCCTTGGGGCAGGTCTCTGAGCCAAGTGCGCACCCTGATCCACATGTGATCTCCTACCTCTCCAGAATCCTGATGCTGCCAAATACAGTACAACAACAACTTCTCATGCTGGGATGACAGTTTCAGTAAGCTGGTACCCACCAATGGGAGCTGTACCCTGATCAGATACTCGTAGGAAATTCTCCATTCAAACAGGCACTTGGGCCGGGGGTGGGGGGTAGAAAGAAAGAGTACCTGATGCTCAGGTAGGTGGACTTTAGGAGAAGGTACTTTTTCAAAACACATTTGTCCTTGTTCCCTTAAGGTTTAAAGATATCTTTTGGTGTGTACCAGACTGAGCTACTGGCAGTTAAGTGTTGCCTTGAGACCAAAGTCCCAGTGGCCCAAGAGGCTGACTCATCTGACCTTTACCCTGTCTTTAGGGGGAGTGGACATGAGAGCCCCATACCTTTTGGGTTAGGCTGTCGGCCTTAGCAGCATACAGGGCAAGAGCCAGGTTCATAGTGGCTAAACGCATGGAGCAACTGGCAAGCCTTTGCCCTCACCTCTTGCCCGTACTGGGGAGGGTTCCTTATCTAGGCAGCATTCTCACAGTCATCAGTCCAGAGGAGAGTGGGATTCTGAAGTGTGAAGATCCTGGTGCTGCCCCAGAGCAGATTACTGCTCACCTGCCTGTGCTTAGCCCCTTCCTCGTCACCCTACCAGCCTCCTCACCACATCGCTGGGTCTAAACCCACACGAAGGCTAGGATGGAATTTGGAGCCTCACACATTCTAGGCACATGTTCTGCCACAAAACCACATCTCTGGCTCCACACTGCTTCCTTTAGCACAAAGGTTCCTTTTGCAACCATGCCCAGTTTTCAAAGGTGGCTTTTAGAATTCTCTACCTAGGGAACTGATTATTCAATCCACATGGAGCAGACCCACTCCCCAGTTCTCTTCCCAAAGGATCAGCATCCTTCAGTGGAAGCTGGTCTCCTAAATCACCCCTGTATATTAGAGGCAGCTTCCTTCCCATTTCACTCAAGATCTGAGGAGCTGGGATCACACTAGCCTAGCTCTATCATTTCAAATACAGGACTGATACCCACAGCCACCATCCCAACCAGCAGCCACCCCTTAACCCATTCCAGAGCTGTCTGACACTAAGCTTCCACAATGCCGATAGCAGCCAACGACAAAGAGCTACTGGCACTTTCCTTGTCAATCTAGAGCTAGGGATCCTCAGTGGGTGTAGAAGCCTTGCAGAGGTCTGCACTACTAACCAGAGCCCAGGCCCAGTTACTGCTCACTGACTTAGATGACTGTGGCTAAACACAGAACTCGGAACCCACAGTGCTCAAGCAGCTGAACACCTATAAGAACTGTCAATCAACGAGCTACAGGTAAATGCAGACACCAGGTCCCAGGCCTTTTGGATGTAGAATATCACCTCACAGCTTGGATCTTGGTTTGTACCACTGAGGGGAAGCATCCAGAGAGCACAGGCCACAGGTTCAGTGGCACAACTCCCTTCAGCATGAACAACAGATAATGACCATGGCCACAATTCAGAGGCTGCTAGCCACTGGATTAGAACCTTTAGGATGTCTTGGGACAGTCTGCATAAAAGTTTGTGGACTGGCAACTATGAAACGCAAACACCTCACAAGATGCCATTCCTGGCTTAAGATGCTGAAGAAAACATGAGGGGAGGGAGGAAAGAGGAGAGACCTCTGTCCCAGCTTTCAGCCTGAAGCTCTCTCCTGTCAACACACAGTAGATGAAGACACTTCTCCACACCTGACCACAGCCTGTGATCATAAACTAGCAGCCTGGACTCAAGACCTGCTGTATAAGCTGCTTTAGAACTCAGGCTTTTCTCAGTGTGGGAAAGAATCCAGAAAACCCAATCCAGATGACACGGAAATTCCAAAGGTGACAGGACACAAGGAAAATGCCATGTCCTTCACTTACCTGGTCCCCTTCTTATTGGGCACCGAGTAGGGACGCAGAAAGTCCAGCTTGCTCTTACTGATGACACACAGATCAATGTTGCTTCCAGATCCCAAGTCATTAAAGATGCCAGCTGCGATAGCCTCACTCACCAACTTCTTTGCTTCTTCCTCCTAAGAAAGCAAAGGGCAGCCAAGATGATTTGTGCTCATGAAGAATGGTGGGCTGCTCAGAAACACACAGGATGCTTCATACATGCGTTTGTGGTGCTGCTTAAAATTTCCCTAAAACTATGACATTTTCAACACCCATTTTTCTTTCTTTTCTTTTTTTATTTGTTTGTTTTTCGAGACAGGGTTTCTCTGTAGCTTTGGAGCCAGTTCCTGAACTCTTCTCAAACTCACAGCGATCGCCTGCCTCTGCCTCCCAAGTGCTGGGATTAAAGTTGTTTGCCACCACCGCCTGAGCCTCAACACCAGTATTTCAAAAGAGAACTGGCCTAAAGCTTTGTAGGTGATAAGTGGGGGACAGGCCTTTCATCCCTTCATGCCCGAGTCCCTTCCTCACACGGTGTCTCCCATCATATGCCGTCAGCACCCACCATTTAAAGACTCAGTGAGCTGTTCTGTGGTGCCCAGAGGAAATGGCACTATTAGAAGGTGTGGCTTTGTTAGAGGAAGTGTGTCACTGTGGGGTGGGCTTTGAGGTCTCCTTTGCTCAAGCTAAACTCAGTGTGGTACACACAGTTCACCTGTTGCCTGTGCATCAAGGTGTAGAACCCTCAGCTCCTTCTTCAGCACATCTGACTGCAAACCACCATGCTTCCCACCATGAAGATAACAGGCTAAACTTCTGAAACTGTAAGGAAGCCTCAATTAAATGTTTGCCTTTATAAAAGTTGCCATGGTCATGATGTCTCTTCACAGCAACAGAAACCCTAACTAAGACATCTTCATAAGGGCCGGGCAGTAAATATTTTAGATTCCTGGGCATGCTTGTTGACTGTTATAACCTCGCAATACAACCACCTAGCACAAAACAGTCAAAGACCATGCATAAACAGGGTGATTATGTGTCCCAATAAAACTTTATTAATCCAGGTGTCAGGCTGGATTTGACTCATGGGCTTAGTTTGCTAAATGATCAAAGTATCTTAACAGTGACTCCAGGAGAGAATCCTCCCACCCATGGATGGGGAAGACAAAGCTGCAGTTTATAAAATAAAGGAGAAAGGTAAACAGGCTCAGAAAAACACAAAAACTACTAGCTAACAAAACCAACTTCCTGGTAACATAATGGAGAAAGTCAGCACCGTGGGGCTGAGACAAGCTGATACCAAAGCACAATTGTAGTTCCGGGGAGTGACACATTAAGACTACTTGCTCCTGAAGAATTTGTCTCTACCCTCTATGAACCTACAAGTTCACTGAAGTGACTTGCTGCTTCTCCCAAAAGTTCATTAACATTTTTAGTCAAGAGCCATCATATGCCAAGTGAGACACCAGAGCCAGAGGTCCCAGAACCTCACCCTCTTGGGATTTTAGAAGTTCACTGGGAGCCTCAGACCCATGTGACTGCTCCAGGGCATGACAAGGGTCAAAGAGTGACAATAATGGCTGCCTCCGTGAAGTTTCAAGGAGAGCAGAAGGCAGCCTGTAAACAAAGGCACCCAGGAAACTGGTGCAGTGCAAGGCAGCACGATAGAAATCCTTTATGCAGCAAGGAGAGAACGAGCCAGCCTTTTCTATGTGCTTCATCTGGCACAGGGTACAGACATGCGAGCCAAGCAAAATGCACACATCTCAGTAAACAACCTCCAGCTCCAACTCCCATGCACCAAATGCCCCAAATCTGGCCTAAGAATCTTGATGGACAAATAAATTCAAGGCTTTACGTTGTGAGAGAATCCGAGCCAGGCTGGAATACTAGTGACAGGAGTGCCCTCTACAGACCCAGAGGAGGA